ATGGCTAGATTTTCCCCTTCAATAACCCTGTAATAATTCAATTTGTATTTTAGTTAAATGAACCACTTGTAATGGTATGTATCACTGATTTTATCAAAGGCCTTTGAAATATCGATGACTACGATATCTGTTTGGAGGCTAGACCATTCCAAGTATCAGTCGTGATGTTGTATACATGAAGTTATTATTGGGGTACACAATACCTCGCCAGTCTATACGGATACATAAGCTTGAAGGGGTATATCATGTACATGTACAGTATACATTTATATATATACACACACATGGAATGCTGTAGATGCATGTATGTAATACAAATTTCCATTATTCAACCTGTAAATAAATCTACCATTTCAAAAAGGTATCCTTAAGGATCCCGGCCTGTACCACTGCCAAAAAGTGTATCCTTAAGGATCCCGGCCTGTACCACTGCCAAAAAGGTATCCTTAAGGATCCCGGCCTGTACCACTGCCAAAAAGGTATCCTTAAGGATCCCGGCCTGTACCACTGCCAAAAAGGTATCCTTAAGGATCCCGGCCTGTACCACTGCCAAAAAGGTATCCTTAAGGATCCCGGCCTGTACCACTGCCAAAAAGGTATCCTTAAGGATCCCGGCCTGTACCACTGCCAAAAAGGTATCCTTAAGGATCCCGGCCTGTACCACTGCCAAAAAGGTATCCTTAAGGATCCCGGCCTGTACCACTGCCAAAAAGGTATCCTTAAGGATCCCGGCCTGTACCACTGCCAAAAAGGTATCCTTAAGGATCCCGGCCTGTACCACTGCCAAAAAGGTATCCTTAAGGATCCCGGCCTGTACCACTGCCAAAAAGGTATCCTTAAGGATCCCGGCCTGTACCACTGCCAAAAAGGTATCCTTAAGGATCCCGGCCTGTACCACTGCCAAAAAATGTCACCATTCATCAGACACTTTTTTGACAAAGGTTGTATGTCTGATAAATCATTTTTGAAAAGAGAATCAAACCTTGGGGAATTCTCATAAAAAATGACAAAAGGGAAATAAAAAATAAAAGAATCAGCATCAGTACTACCATCTGTGTTTAAAGTCGTTCAGTTATTGAGTGTCCATAATATTAAAGAATTTTGTCTACTAGGAAAAATCATCTGTGAGGCAAACAAATTAAGGGTATTATAATGGAATATGATTGTCTTCATTCTCTGTACATTGTCCATGATTTGTGTATAATATGTATTGTATACTGATGGGCCAATGGCCTAAAGTTCGAATAAAACTTAAACCTTGAGTAAAATAAAAATTCTTGAGTAAAACAAAATCTTATACTTAAGTGTTCTGAATGATAAAATGCGATAGGTCCAGACATCAGAGGATTCAAACTTTGAACTTCTGATCATTTAACTGTCACTCAAGCAAACTGAGCTGGTCAACAGTAGTGGCCTAGCTGGGCCACTTAGAGCTACATGTAGTTTATAAATCCAAAATGAAGTTAGGTGAGGTTGTTGTATGTACAAGAAACTTAAGTTGAATTCCAAAGTGTTTGCCAGCGGCCGGGAACCTTAAGCACACACAATACAAACAACAGGAAACTGTAATTTACCATATATTATATACAGAATTTATTCAATCTTGTTGTTAAACAAGAATATATTCCTAGAAACTGGAAACAGGGAATTATAGTAACTCTATATAAAGGTCACGGAAAGCTGAAAGATGATCCTAACAGTTATAGGGGAATAACCCTCTTGCCAGTATTTTCTAAAATGTTTGAAATGGCTATTGCAAAGAGAATTAACAATATATAATAGAGTCCGATATATTTCCAAACAAGCAACAGTCAGCATATCAGAAGAATCTATGTAGTCTTTGTACTGCGTTTAATTTGCAGGAATGTGTATATTATAATATGGAAAATGGTTCAGATGTATATGCGTCGTTTTTAAATAGCGCTAAGGCGCTTGATACCGTTTGGCATGACGGTCTACTAGTAAAATTGTATGGTATTGGCCTTACTGATAAAGTGTGGAATATTTTAAATTATATGTACACGGATATACACAGTTCTATAATTTTTAATGGTTAAACCTCGGCACCAGTAAAGATGGAGCGAGGTATCTTACAAGGCGAGGCTCTCTCAGCCAAAATGTACTTAGTTTTTATTAATTGTTGAATGAAGTTGAAAACTGCGGTAGGGGCGCAATGATAATCGATAAAACTGTAAATGTTCCAACTCAAGCAGACGATATATGTTTGGTTAGTACAAATATTACAAGTCTAAATAAAATGTTAACTATTTGTGAATCATACAGTCGGAAGTGGCGATTTTTGTATTCTGCGTCAAAAAGTAAAGTTGTCGTATTTTCAAATAAAAGAATCATAAACATTAACTGTACTGTACGTCTTTACGATAATATATTGCCTGTCGTTTCAGAAATTACTCATGTAGGTATCTTATTGAATGCTAAGCACAATTCCATTGAAAGAATAAAACAAGCGTGTAAAAAAATAAAAAGTGGTACTATGGCCCTTTTACGTTCTGGGGCACATCAATGCGCACTAAACCCATTAACTGTTGCTAAAATTGTAAAAATCAAAGTCTACCCGTCTGCACTTTACGGTTGTGAACTCCGGGTACTTTCAAATACTGAGTTATTGATGTTAGAGAGAGCCCACCATTTTATTGTTAAGTCAATGCAAGGTTTCGGAAAAAGAACAAGAACTGATACATTATATTTGTATGTGTACTTCTTTAATCGGATGGTTTTCTATAGAGGCGTATATCAATATCAAAAAAGTAACTTAATCTGCAAAGTATTCATTTTGAGGTATTTTATGTATACAGTTAATAATTATAGTCAAAAAGGTTGTATACAAGACATTGTCAGATTACTAAAGAAGTATAATCTATATGAATACATTATAAAATTTCTAGATGATGTTGTTTTTCCAAATAAAATGTATTGGAAGTCATTGATTTATAAATCCGTAACAAATTATGAAACTAATACATGGATGCAAAGAATGTCTAATGACACAGACTTTACACGATTTTTATTGCTACATGACTGTCTAAAACCTCATAATTTATGGAAATTACTCTATTAAAAATTAGCCTTGCGTCACCCAAATTTTCTTGACAATATTGGATATGTAATGAAATTGATTGGATCTACACGTGTAAGTAACATACAACTTTTATGTCATCATTGTGGCTATTTCTACACAGATTTTGTATACGTATCTCATGTGATTCTGCATTGTTCTGTAACAGAAAATCTTTGTGACAATTTACGGTGTATAATTGCCTGCATTCAAGTATTGAACTCAGTTCATATCTGCATTCACTGCCTGACTATTCAGTAATTCACATTTTACTAGGAGGCCCAATGACCTATAATTTAAATGAAATTGATTTTGAAGAATTTAGACTAGAATCTGTTTATGCGATAAAAAGAATGTTTGACTTATATACATAATAATTATTATTATAATAATGTCTAACAAATCCTTGCCTTATAAGGAAAATGTAAAAAAAATGAACATAGGCAAGGTATTATTATTTTTTTTTTTTTTACTGGCTACATAAACCAGTATTATATCACTGATATTTAACAATATGTATATATACGTTTGTGAATTTGTATGAATGTCACGATTGTTGTTTGTAAATAATGTATTATTCATGTACTATCATTGTATCATGCTTTCCAATTTGGAGGAAATAAAGATGATATAGGGATATAAACGTTATTGTGGTAGCTCTACACCAAAAGTCAGCAACATTTAATTAGGTCAAAATATGAATGGTGCTTTTCTTGTAAGACACACCCTCATTTTGAAAGCCCATGGCCAAAATCTATATTCTCTGTAATGGAACTCCTCAACATTTTGAAAATGACATTCAGGACTGGAATGAAAAAATATTTCAAAAATCACTGGAAATTCGATCGGGGAATCAACCCCAGGCCGCCTTGGTGAAAAGCAAGTGCGCTATGGGATAATCCACTGGGCAACCCGACCACCCATTGTTATAGTCGGTTGTAAAAGCCTGTTTAGGTTAGTGTTACCCTGTTTTTAACCATGTACCAACTTTAAATAAAATTTACTTGACATGACATAGTATAGGCTATGACTATTGTTAAATCCCTTTTGAAATCATTCAAAAAGTTACCAATAGGCTTCATTAAATTTAACCCAGCAAATTATAATAGTGAAGTGTAAATTATTTTTTGGAAGAGAGGGAGGGGATGCATGAAGTTTAAGACATCTTTACTTGGTAGGTAATTGTCCAAGTAACTGTCATATAATTTCTATTTATAATTTATATTACTACACCCTGACACTAACATGCTAATCCATAATCAGTATTACTACTTAAAACAGTTAGTACTGTGACATGTCAGCAATATTTTGGAAAACAACGTCAACGAGTCGTTGACTCAACTTTGTCATCAATTATAAAAAAAGACTATTATTATTATCTTGTACATTTTGTTACCAATATATCAAATGGCAGGAAGTCAAGCATTGCCTCAACAATAACCATGTTTCACTGAATCAAGCCAGAATGCCACTAGCTCCACAGACATGACCACTTAATTAATTTCAACGAAAAAACCTAACAAATAATTCTTATTCACCTTGTATACTGCACTTTACAGTAGGCCCTACTGCAAAAGTGAGCATTTCTAATGACCTCTTTAAGCAACAGTTTTTCAGGAGGAACTGCCTCAGAGCTCAAAACGGTCATTAGGCAAAGTCGAATCACACGGGAACAGAAATTCCCGAATTGTTTTATTATCAGCAGGTCATTCGCAGTCTAAGATTCGACAGACTCAAAAGTCCGTTAGTTTTCTACTGTCAGATACTCGTGTATTGAAGAGTGTATAGAACATTGCTCAATATGAAGTCGTGTTCCTTTTGGACGACTCCTGGACTCGTTAGGACAAGCGAAAACGTCCAGTCAGTGTTATTTCCGCATATCTGATTCAATATTGTTAAACATAAAGTTACAGACTTTACATACCTATTGATCGAAGTAATATCATGATGTTACGTTATTTCCCACACACGTTCCGCCATATTGTTTAAACATGGCGACTCTTAGTAACCCTATCACGCATCCAATGTAAACAATATTAATCCGCGATGCTTTTAAGATATTTAATCAGCTCTTTCGTGAGAAAATAATAACACATTTATTATAAGCTTGTATGTTTATTTAATTTTAAGTAAAGTACGACCTAAAATAAACGAATTAAAACGAATCATACCAACACAGTCGTTAAAAATAGTCCAAATCCATTTTCAATTATAAGCGGTGATTGGTCAATCGTTGCTCAGTAAAAGACCTTGACCTCAAATAATAACAGAGATCACATAAAGAGAGGTAACTCTTCTTTTTGTAGAAACCTATTTTGTTACAAATCAATTTCTAGTTAAAAGATTCTTTAAAAATCCCACATGTCTTAAATGAATACATTATCTAAAAAACGTTATATGTTGGCTAAACGACGCTGAATACGTAATAAAATGTGTTATTCAAATAGCTGAGAAACAGACCTATTTACAAATAATTCAATTTTGATAACACATCTTGTGTCGTCTTGCACTAACTAACACACATTAACATTGGGTCACTGATATCAATTACTTTTACTATTCATTTTGTCATATAATTAATATATCATTTACTTATAAATTAATGTTAAATAGCACTTTATTCGATTTGTCTACTGTCTTTTTAAGAATGATATAAAAAGGGCTTTAATTCTGAATAGAATGTAGTGAATTAAAATGTTTTTACTTTCCATTGATTATGACGATAAACTGATATTTGATTTTAATATGAAATTAATTGTATATAGCAAACACCACAAAAAGCATTTGCAAATATGTCGTTTCCATATTGGTTTGAACTGTATCATGAGCCTAAAGAAAAACTACTAGACTATCAACATATACTCGTGTTTTTTTTAGTTTTGAACGTAAATGTATCTTTTAAAATGCATGTTTCTTACATTAAATGATAAAAATATGCATTTAAATCCTTAATTACCATCATTGGAAAGTCTATGACGTCATATACGTATATTGTCTACAAAATGCAGAAAATATCACAAATGTCAGCAGAATATATAGAATAGCTATAGTTCTGTGGTTAGTGACACAATCAGCTACAACTTGCTGGAAATATACAGTGATGTCAGTAGGGTTTTACATTCATTTCTCACACTTAGATCTCTGGAATTGCTATTGTACACCTTTCGAAGCAAGCTGCATGTCGTCAGGTTTAAAACGAAGGATGATCAATATTCTGCTAATTACAACCTAGTAGCATTAATACAAGCAACGATCAATAGTTTTTGAACGGCTAGCTGTAAAATATTTTAACATTTATTTATATCATAACTTACTGATATACAAGTATATCGATCGGGATTCCAGCCTGGGCATTCTTCAGTACATCAAATGATAGAAATGCGAACATTTTGATTGAAAGCCTCCTACATATACACGTTCGGTGTTTTTGGTGGTATACCTATTTAAAGCGTTCGACCGGCTGTGAAGGCACTGAACGTGAAACAAACTCTTTAGTTACGACATTTCGGGAAAATTGTCTGATCGGTTAAATAACCATTTAAGTGATAGACAATAATAGCTAAGGTTTTGTTGGCAACTGGCAAATCTAGTAATGCTGGAGTTCCCCAAGGCTCGGTACTGGGTCCTTTATTATTCATTCTCTGCATAAAAGATACTTCTAATACATATTTATTATGCTCGGAAGAATCTTCATGCAAACTGTGGATACTTCACGACAATAAATATTACGAAACCCACGTTTTTCCTTGTCGTATAAACGTCTCATTGAAATCAATCTTAAACGTACTGATGTCTCTAGGTTCTCAGTGCAGATTCTCTTTAGTTGTTTGATGTTGCTGTAGAGCACATTTTCTTAGAGAATGACACAGTATAATCTTTCAAAACAACCGCCATTAGACTACATACCTAAGGGGTAAATATAACAAGTACTTAGCAAAAGACAACAAAACCAACCGACTTAAAAGAAAAGGCAGAGGAAATAGGTTTTTTTTTTGCAAATGACTTTGGGAAGTGGAATACCACATGTGCAGTCTCTCCAAAGACCACGTTTATCAAAACAGACACATGGTCATTGAAGATATTTTTAATTCAAGGGGTTTATTAATTAGAAGATGATTAACAAAGTACCACAGCATGTCCCAAGTTTAGAAATAAGCGCTCATGAAAGTCTGAATTTGTACATTTTAAGTTGTGCGTTATGCACAAGACTGCCTTTTGATTTAAGACAACAGCGACTCTGAGAGAAAGAGGTTTTTTGCCTATGTGAAATCCAAATAGACGGATTTTAGTGATAGGGACAGATGACGAACAGGCCACGAATAAAGCTGCAACAAATAAGTTCTCTGACTCGACGCACGTGCTTTGCACCCGAAATTTACATCAGAATGACAAGACCCGATTAGCAATTGGGAATAAAAAATTCTGACGGCAATCGACTTCTAAACGACGTTTTAACAACGAGGATGTTACAGACGCAGACGACTCAATTACATTTAACGATAGGTGTGACAAACTGCAAGCTACGTGTCAATCTGTCTCTCCTGAGTTTGCAGATAAATCGAACAAATTGAAACACAAGAAAGTAAAGAAACCTCAAAGGTTAGAATGAATTCAACAGAAATGAAAAAAATAACAATGAGCATGTGTCGTACAGAGCCGAACATTCCCCATGAGGGAAAAGACTGATCACGGAACAGCTAGAACGATACAGAACAAAGTTAGAAGGGTTTCAATGTCTACTTACAAATTAATTTAACGAAGTAAACTGGCGTGTTTTTGAAGAGGAAAGTTATTTCTATAGACAGACAATCCAATCGGTGATTGGCAAGTATATAAGGAGTGAAGCAGGGACAAAGACGAAGAGAAGAACGGGCATAGGCAGTTTCGGGAAAAAATGTTAATTTTGTTAACATATCTAACTTTGAACATTGATTAACCACTTATTTTACTATCGTCATGTTTGATTGATAGCTTCGTCAGCTTCACTTGTTCAAAGTGAAGAAATGAACATTTCTTATTTTAATAATGGATTGATATCACAATGTTCAAATTTGGAATTTTCTTGTCGCAAACGTTGTTAGTCCAAAAATGTGTCTTAAACATAATCATGGACATTGAAGGAATTCATTTATTTTACTCGCTTCATTTACACCATTGTCTAATGATATTGATACTACTTAATCATCATTACTTTAGCCCCTAGCTTTCTAGTCAGTTTTTCCTACTTTATTGCAGCTGGGCTCTTAACTCCGTCTAGGGCACCAGTAACAAGAAACTCTTGCACAATACAATGTAGCCCGAGTTTCCTTTGACCCTGACACATTTGTGGAATGATAATCCATTGGACTACATTAAAAATAGTAATATGAAATCAAATGAGAGAAAATGGAAAGAATAAAGAATTCCTGCTCTGTGGTTTATCTGACAAACTAACTAGTCGTCTGCAGACGGTCCAGAACACTGCAGCACGTCTGGTTACTCGTACTCGACAGAGAGAGCACATCACACCTGTGCTATATTCATTGCACTGGCTACCTGTACGATACAGGTTGTAGTACGAAATTTTGGTGTATACATACAAGGCACTGATGGAACATGATCCTGTTACCTGTATCCGCCGTCACGATCACTGTGGTGGCAGATATAATCGTTGTTGTGTGTCCCAAAATCTCTGACCTATGGAAACCGGTGCTTTGGAAGGGTCTCGGCCAAGTTTTGGAATAGCTTGCCATCTGCTACCAGGAAGTCAGAAACTATGGCCTTTAAAAAGTATATACGTATCCACCTGTTTATGTCTGCATTGTAGGATCTTTTGTGCTGACGTCATGTACATATCACCCTATATTTAAATGTTGTATATTATACATGTAACTTATGTATGCGCAGGAATTAAAAGGTAAATATAACTGGGTACAATATGGAGAAGCTTAAAATGTCTGGATTTATGAATCTTTAGTAAGGCCAAATATAAAGTACTGAGGAAGTGTTTTGAAACATAACTGTACATGTAAGAACATGGATATATAAGACCAGAGATCGTCCATCGAAGAGTGACCAAGCTTATGCACGGAATGAAAAAAAAACAATGATGAAAATAAAAGCAATACTTTTTTAAACATTTCTTTCAGACAAAAAGTGGAGCACTATCGGAACTCCCTGTCTAACCACTTAATAAATTCGCTTTCTAAAAACCCGTTTGAAGCTGAATTAGACAGACATTAACTTACTCCTAGTGTAACTAGAATTATAAAGCCAACAAGGACGAATCACACCGTCGTTGAAGTGACAACACAGATTGACATCCAAGAGTCAGTACAGGTTTATGTATGTCTGTACGAGGACGACTTCACAGAAAGGGGTGCAACTCTTGCATGACTATCTTACTTCTGAATTAAAATACTTGTTGTATGAGAGCTTTCTCCACTCGCATAATAATTAGATTTGAGTTCGGGGTAAAGTGTCAAATAAAAAAGTGAAATCATTACATATTATGATTCGAAATGACCTTTTTATTCGAAACAGAAAACCAAAACATGAAACAATTGAGACAAATAATAAAATTTAAAGATGACCATGTTAAGAAAGTTTTTGAAGAACTCTCTTAGTTCTGAGTATTGGCCTCTAATTCCTAAATTACAGTTCCTATATGGATGAAAACTTGTTCATTCATTAGTAACCTACATTTTTTTTCTCTGGATTTTTCAGGAGATATAACAAATGGCGGATATCAAATGCTGTATATGAAATACAATCTCCTATGGGACACCCGAGATGGTTTTCCGTGGGGTGAGGACGGGCAAAGGATTCGAGATGTTTTTACTTTTGTTTCACGTGTTCTCAGTACTTGCTGCCGTTTGTTTTCTCTTTTTGAGTTCTATTGTCGTATTTTACTGACTGAATATCATGATGCAATCTGTATAAATCTGACACAAGGAGTATAAAGCAGCTGTCACACGTGCATATTCACTACCTTACATAGGCGGGGCTGCAAAAATCTTCCCACGCAC